TTATGAGCTCTGCTGCCCAATCTTCCTTTGCATTTTCCTCCTCCTGTCATTTGGTTTTTCTTGTTGCTCTCTGGCAACCCATTTTTGTTTTATCCTGATTGCCTCAGAGTGGGAAACCTATGTAGTTCTGTATGTTAGGTTAGTAGTGTGTGTGTCAGAGTGTGGGGGGGGGAAGTAGTGGAGGAACTGTGGCTATTTGGGAGCTGAGTGGGGAGGGGTGGGGAGGGTTTGGGGTGATCGGGGGAGGGGAGGGTGATCGAGGGAGGGGATGGATAAGGGGAAGTAGTGAGATGTCGGTGGTGAGGGAGGAGTGTGTGTGTGTGTGTGTGTGTGTGTGTGTGTGTGTGTGTGTGTGTGTGTGTGTGTGTGTGTGTGTGTGTGTGTGTGTAATTATGTGTCGAATTATGTGTGGGTTTATTATGTGTCTGAAAAGTAGGTGGCTTGTGCTTGGAGTGTAATGTAGATTCTCAGTTGTGTGTGTGTGTGTATGTGGGTGTGTGTGTGTGTATGTGTGTATGTGTGTGTGTGTGTGTGTGCGTGTGTGTGTGTGTGTGTGTGTGTGTGTGTGTGTGTGTGTGTGTGTGTATGTGTGTGTGTGTGTGTGTGTGTGTGTGTGTGTGTGTGTGTGTGTGTGTGTGTATGTGTGTATGTGTGTGTGTGTGTGTGTTTTGGTGTGTGTGTGTGTGTGTGTGTGTGTGTGTGTGTGCGTGTGTGTGTACTCACCTAATTGTACTCACCTAATTGTGATTGTAGGGGTCGAGACTCAGCTCCTGGCATGTGTGTGTGTGTACTCACCTAGTTGTACTCACCTAGTTGAGGTTGCGGGGGTCGAGTCCGCGCTCCTGGCCCCGCCTCTTCACTGATCGCTACTAGGTCACTCTCCCTGAGCCGTGAGCTTTATCATACCTCTGCTTAAAGCTATGTATGGATCCTGCCTCCACTACATAGCTTCCCAAACTATTCCACTTACTGACTACTCTGTGGCTGAAGAAATACTTCCTAACATCCCTGTGATTCATCTGTGTCTTCAGCTTCCAACTGTGTCCCCTTGTTACTGTGTCCAATCTCTGGAACATCCTGTCTTTGTCCACCTTGTCAATTCCTCTCAGTATTTTGTATGTCGTTATCATGTCCCCCCTATCTCTCCTGTCCTCCAGTGTCGTCAGGTTGATTTCCCTTAACCTCTCCTCGTAGGACATACCTCTTAGCTCTGGGACTAGTCTTGTTGCAAACCTTTGCACTTTCTCTAGTTTCTTTACATGCTTGGCTAGGTGTGGGTTCCAAACTGGTGCCGCATACTCCAATATGGGCCTAACGTACACGGTGTACAGGGTCCTGAACAATTCCTTATTAAGATGTCGGAATGCTGTTCTGAGGTTTGCCAGGCGCCCATATGCTGCGGCAGTTATTTGGTTGATGTGCGCTTCAGGAGATGTGCCTGGTGTTATACTCACCCCAAGATCTTTTTTCTTGAGTGAGGTTTGTAGTCTCTGACCCCCTGTGTGTGTGTGTGTGTGTGTGTGTGTGTGTGTGTGTGTGTGTGTGTGTGTGCGCGCTGAGAGTAATACTCCCATCAAGGTATATATCCTTTGATATTTATAATCACGTATTAAACTTCAACTTACTAAACACTCGACAGAACTTACATAAACCTCTTGAATAATCTATAAAAAAACATGGAATAATTAATGAAGATAGTTCTACTTTGGTATATGTAAACAGAAACACATTTACTAATGCTGTTAAGAGTTACCTTCTAAATACAAAAGTCACATTTACATAATAAGTCATACACACTGGAGTACAAAACTTGTATATTAACATATTTATGCATAATATAAACAATTTTCTCAACTAACCCTCTAATACTTATTTGTTACTTAGGAGTAAAGTGAACCTCAACATATCTTCCCAAGATGTTCAATCTTCACACTTATGTTCATTTTTTGCACATGTTGTTAGTCTAGATAACCGAGATAGCAAGTTTTGTGGAGATTATTGGGTGATATTCTCGAGATGTGTGACGCTACTCACGTCACTGTGTTACGTACACTGACATCATCATAAGTGGAGCTACTCACGTCACTGTGTTACGTACACTGACATCATCATAAGTGGAGCTGCTCACGTCACTGTGTTACGTACACTGACATCATCATAAGTGGAGCTACTCACGTCACTGTGTTACGTACACATACATCATAAGTGGAGCTGCTCACGTCACTGTGTTACGTACACTGACATCATCATAAGTGGAACTACTCACGTCACTGTGTTACGTACACTGACATCATCATAAGTGGAGCTACTCACGTCACTGTGTTACGTACACTTACATCATCATAAGTGGAGCTACTCACGTCACTGTGTTACGTACACTGACATCATCATAAGTGGAGCTACTCACGTCACTGTGTTACGTACACTGACATCATCATAAGTGGAGCTGCTCACGTCACTGTGTTACGTACACTGACATCATCATAAGTGGAGCTACTCACGTCACTGTGTTACGTACACATACATCATAAGTGGAGCTGCTCACGTCACTGTGTTACGTACACTGACATCATCATAAGTGGAACTACTCACGTCACTGTGTTACGTACACTGACATCATCATAAGTGGAGCTACTCACGTCACTGTGTTACGTACACTGACATCATCATAAGTGGAGCTACTCACGTCACTGTGTTACGTACACTGACATCATCATAAGTGGAGCTACTCACGTCACTGTGTTACGTACACTGACATCATCATAAGTGGAGCTGCTCACGTCACTGTGTTACGTACACTGACATCATCATAAGTGGAGCTGCTCACGTCACTGTGTTACGTACACTGACATCATCATAAGTGGAGCTATTCACGTCACTGTGTTACGTACACTTACATCATCATAAGTGGAGCTATTCACGTCACTGTGTTACGTACACTTACATCATCATAAGTGGAGCTATTCACGTCACTGTGTTACGTACACTTACATCATCATAAGTGGAGCTGCTCACGTCACTGTGTTACGTACACTTACATCATCATAAGTGGAGCTGCTCACGTCACTGTGTTACGTACACTGACATCATCATAAGTGGAGCTGCTCACGTCACTGTGTTACGTACACTGACATCATCATAAGTGGAGCTATTCACGTCACTGTGTTACGTACACTGACATCATCATAAGTGGAGCTACTCACGTCACTGTGTTACGTACACTTACATCATCATAAGTGGAGCTACTCACGTCACTGTGTTACGTACACTGACATCATCATAAGTGGAGCTATTCACGTCACTGTGTTACGTACATTTACATCATCATAAGTGGAGCTGCTCACGTCACTGTGTTACGTACACTGACATCATCATAAGTGGAGCTGCTCACGTCACTGTGTTACGTGCACTGACATCATCATAAGTGGAGCTATTCACGTCACTGTGTTACGTACACTTACATCATCATAAGTGGAGCTATTCACGTCACTGTGTTACGTACACTTACATCATCATAAGTGGAGCTATTCACGTCACTGTGTTACGTACACTTACATCATCATAAGTGGAGCTGCTCACGTCACTGTGTTACGTACACTTACATCATCATAAGTGGAGCTGCTCACGTCACTGTGTTACGTACACTGACATCATCATAAGTGGAGCTGCTCACGTCACTGTGTTACGTACACTGACATCATCATAAGTGGAGCTACTCACGTCACTGTGTTACGTACACTTACATCATCATAAGTGGAGCTGCTCACGTCACTGTGTTACGTACACTGACATCATCATAAGTGGAGCTACTCACGTCACTGTGTTACGTACACTGACATCATCATAAGTGGAGCTATTCACGTCACTGTGTTACGTACACTGACATCATCATAAGTGGAGCTACTCACGTCACTGTGTTACGTACACTTACATCATCATAAGTGGAGCTACTCACGTCACTGTGTTACGTACACTGACATCATCATAAGTGGAGCTGCTCATATTCTATCAAACCTATAATATTGTTATTGATTTATTATATCATGTTTTATCTAAAACGTATATGCTAATAAGGGTATGGACTATATGTTAGATAAAAAAGATCAAAGGTGATTAATTGTATACACACCTGAGAAAGTGGGATTATTTGAGAATTATAATTATGCTTCATTGAGTCTTGTAATATTATTAAAAGAACTAGTCATTATTAACATATAAAAATCACTTTTAACATAATTTGTATAAGAGATGTTTATATTAATTAGCATGAGGCTGGCTGGTTAGTAGTAATTTAAATCAATATGAACATTAAAATGGTATAAAATACCGACAGGTTGTTAGGTAAGACACATATGCAACAGTTGGGTATCTTTATTATGAAACGTTTCGCCTACACAGTAGGCTTCTTCAGTCAAGTACAGAAAAGTTGATAGAAGCAGAAGATACATCGTCTTCAAGTATCTTCTGCTTCTATCAACTTTTCTGTACTTGACTGAAGAAGCCTACTGTGTAGGCGAAACGTTTCATAATAAAGATATCCAACTGTTGCATATGTGTCTTACTTAAATCAATATATTGTTTAACACGTACAGTACATGTACAAGTCATGAACCCTTCTTTGACCACGAATATATCTAGAAACTATTTAGCCACGAATCTATTTAGTATTTTAAAATAAATCCTGTATTTATATCAAAACATAACATTTTACCCTTGAGTCGCATTGTTTATTTTCGACGTTGTCATGGGCTACACTCCGTTGCTTTTAATTAACTGATAAATCAAACTTGCCCTGAGTGTCTTCTGTTTCATTATCAGTGAGGTATGAGGGGATGTGTACCATTCCAGGGTCAGCAGTGTATATACACCAAGAACTGTCAGTGTATATACATTTAGAGGCGTATATCTGTGTATTTTCGTCCCAGTTTTAGTAATGAAAGCATTGTTAATGTTATTGTACAAATAGAAATAATATTTTTGGTGCACATTATTACACATACCTGAAAGTTGGTTGCTCCGCGTGTACATGATTCCAGGTGGTGGGTTTGGTATCATTTTATTAATGTTACTTTCAACGACTTTCTTGATGTGTTCAAGATCAACCTCCGCCTTACGCTCCAAATATTCCAGTATTTCTTGACATAGTTGAAGTAGCTGTTCAAGTCTTGTGGTTAATTCACTTGAAGAAATGTCCGAGTCATCATGGCGGTGACAAATGTTATTTCTCATCGTCACGAGAGTTTGTAGGCGTTTATAAAGTGGTTGTGACTTGACTAAGTTACAGAACTTTCTCTGAACCGCCCAATGAAGACTTATATCAAATTCCCGGGCAGCCACTTGGATATCATAGTTTTCTAATTCGTTGAACGGTATTAATACCTTTCGTTGATCGTAGCTAAAATATTCCTTATAGGACTGCTCACTGGGACCTAACATCTTCCAGTATCTGTCAGGCCTGAGACAACCGCCCTGGTAAAGTCTTGTTGTCACTTCGTACATAACAAACTGCTTGTTTTAGCACTGCTTGATCCCACACCTGTATCGATGAACACTGAAAAATAAAGGAAAATGAAATGTACATAAAACAGTTGGTACTTAAAGCCTATGTTGTTATAAACCACAGGGGGAGTTGGAATGATACTCTAGGGCTTTCATGTTGCAATCAGAACATCTTCAGGGGCTTGTAATACCTCAGATAGGAATCCAGCTTCAAAATTATGTCCAATAGAGTAAATTTAAAGTTTGAATAATCAGGGATTGTTATTATATAATTAACATTATCATGTTTTTTTAATTTCAGATTCTAAACAATTTTTTTCCAGCCAAAAGAAGCAAGGAACCCCAAAACTCTCACTTTGATCAATTTGCAAGTTGTTGCAAACTTCAGAGTTATTGAAAATTGCATTTGATTCCTGGGCAGTTCATACTGAATATCAGTGTTGTGTTAATGCACATCTAGAGGTTTGCCATCTGTCCCAAGTTTCATAAGTTGCAACCATTACAAAAAGTTCCTGTAAATACCACCAGCCCAGTGTTTTAAAGGGGGATCCTTTATGAAACTGTTTTTAAAATGTTAGTGAATTTTTAAAAACTACTTGTATGTTGAATCTTTTTAGGTCATTCTGCAGGACAGATAAATTTTCATTATATGGCAGAACCAGTTCATTCTTGATCTGAGGTGTTATCCAACGATCACTTCTATGATAAGTTTTCCTAGCTGTCAGCAACACTGTTTACCTGGAGTTTACCTGGAGAGAGTACCGGGGGTCAACGCCCCCGCGGCCCGGTCTGTGACCAGGCCTCCTGGTGGATCAGAGCCTGATCAACCAGGCTGTTGCTGCTGGCTGCACGCAAACCAACGTACGAGCCACAGCCCGGCTGATCAGGAACTGACTTTAGGTGCTTGTCCAGTGCCAGCTTGAAGACTGACAGGGGTCTGTTGGTAATCCCCCTTATGTGTGCTGGGAGGCAGTTGAACAGTCTCGGGCCCCTGACACTTATTGTATTGTCTCTTAACGTGCTAGTGACACCCCTGCTTTTCATTGGGGGGATGTTGCATCGTCTGCCAAGTCTTTTGCTTTCGTAGTGAGTGATTTTCGTGTGCAAGTTCGGTACTTGTCCCTCTAGGATTTCCAGGTGTATATAATCATGTATCTCTCCCGCCTGCGTTAAAGGGAGTACAGGTTCAGGAACTTCAAGCGCTCCCAGTAATTGAGGTGTTTTATCTCCGTTATGCGCGCCGTGAAGGTTCTCTGTACATTTTCTAGGTCAGCAATTTCACCTGCCTTGAAAGGTGCTGTTAGTGTGCAACAATATTCCAGCCTAGATAGAACAAGTGACCTGAAGAGTGTCATCATGGGCTTGGCCTCCCTAGTTTTGAAGGTTCTCATTATCCATCCTGTCATTTTTCTAGCAGATGCGATTGATACAATGTTATGGTCCTTGAAGGTGAGATCCTCCGACATGATCACTCCCCGGTCTTTGACGTTGGTGTTTCGCTCTATTTTGTGGCCAGAATTTGTTTTGTACTCTGATGAAGATTTAATTTCCCCGTGTTTACCATATCTGAGTAATTGAAATTTCTCATCGTTTTAACTTCATATTGTTTTCTGCAGCCCACTGAAAGATTTGGTTGATGTCCGCCTAGAGCTTTGCAGTATCTGCAATGGAAGACACTGTCATGCAGATTCGGGTGTCATCTGCAAAGGAAGACACGGTGCTGTGGCTGACATCCTTGTCTATGTCGGATATGAGGATGAGGAACAAGATGGGAGCGAGTACTGTGCCTTGTGGAACAGAGCTTTTCACCGTGCCTGCCTCGGACTTTACTCTGTTGACGACTACTCTCTGTGTTCTGTTAGTGAGGAAATTATAGATCCATCGACCGACTTTTCTTGTTATTCCTTTAGCACGCATTTTGTGCGCTATTACGCCATGGTCACACTTGTCGAAGGCTTTTGCAAAGTCTGTATATATTACATCTGCATTTTTATCTTCTAGTGCATTTAGGACCTTGTCGTAGTGATCCAATAGTTGAGACAGACAGGGACCTGTTCTAAACCCATGTTGCCCTGGGTTGTGTAACTGATGGGTTTCGAGATGGGTGGTGATCTTGCTTCTTAGGACCCTTTCAAAGATTTTTATCATATGGGATGTTAGTGCTATCGGTCTGTAGTTCTTTGCTGTTGCTTTACTGCCCCCTTTGTGGAGTGGGGCTATGTCTGTTGTTTTTAGTAACTGTGAGACGACCCCCGTGTCCATGCTCCCTCTCCATAGGATGGAAAAGGCTCGTGATAGGGGCTTCTTGCAGTTCTTGATGAACACAGAGTTCCATGAGTCTGGCCCTGGGGCAGAGTGCATGGGCATGTCATTTATCGCTTGTTCGAAGTCATTTGGCGTCAGGATAACATAGGATAGGCTTGTGTTAACCAAATTTTGTGGCTCTCTCATAAAAAATTCATTTTGATCTTCGACTCTCAGTCTGGTTAGCGGCTTGCTAAAAACTGAGTCATATTGGGACTTGAGTAGCTCACTCATTTCCTTGCTGTCATCTGTGTAGGACCCATCTTGTTTAAGTAGGGGCCCAATACTGGACGTTGTTCTCGACTTTGATTTGGCATAGGAGAAGAAATACTTTGGGTTTCTTTCGATTTCATTTATGGCTTTTTAGTTCTTCCGCGATTCCTGACTCCTATAAGATTCCTTTAGCTTAAGTTCGATGCTTGCTATTTCTCTGACCAGTGTCTCCCTACGCATTTCAGATATATTGACCTCTATTAGCCGCTCTGTTATTCTTTTTCCGTCGCCTGTAAAGGGAGCGCCCTGTCTCTTTCTATTTTACATCTACTCCTCCTTTTCTTTAGAGGAATAAGCCTTGTGCATACATCGAGTGCCACCAAGTTAATCTGTTCTAGGCATACGTTGGGGTCTGTGTTGCTTAGTATATCTTCCCAGCTTATATCGGTTAGGACTTGGTTTACTTGGTCCCACTTTATGTTTTTGTTTTGAAGTTGAATTTGGTGAATGCTCCCTCGTGACTAATCTCATTATGTCGGTCTGGGGCTCCACGCATACATGTCTGAACCTCAATTATGTTGTGATCTGAGTATATTGTTTTTGATATGGTGACATTTCTTATCAGATCATCATTGTTAGTGAAGATGAGGTCTAGTGTATTCTCCAGTCTAGTAGGCTCTATTATTTGCTGGTTTAAATTGAATTTTGTGCAGAGATTTAAAAGCTCGTGTGAGTGTGAGTTTTCATCAGAGCTGCCTCCTGGTGTTATTACTGCAACAATATTATTTGCTATATTCCTCCATTTTAGGTGCCTTAAGTTGAAATCCCCCAGGAGCAAGATGTTGGGTGCAGGAGCTGGAAGATTTTCCAGACAATGGTCAATTTTTAACAGCTGTTCCTGGAATTGCTGGGATGTTGCATCCGGAGGCTTGTAGACTATCACAATGACTAGGTTTTGGTTCTCTTCTACAAACTCTAAATAATCTTCCAACATCTGCTAGTAAACCATAGCTATTACCTGGAGAGAGTTTACCTGGAGAGAGTTCAGGGGGTCAACTCCCCCGCGGCCCGGTCTGAGACCAGGCCTCCTGGTGGATCAGAGCCTGATCAACCAGGCTGTTGCTGCTGGCTGCACGCAAACCAACATACGAGCCACAGCCCGGCTGATCCGGAACTGACTTTAGGTGCTGACTTTAGAGTACTTTTTTATGGAAATACGAAAATGTGTACGTTCTTGTGGGACTAGAAAACCGTCTAGTTTGTGGTAATACTACAAAAAAGTGTTGAGTTTTCAGTAAATGCATTATATCACACAGAAAAAGTAGATTATTCTTCTAGTAATGCGTACGCACAGTTCATTTCTACCATAGCTTATGAACAAGACACTAAGAATTTTTTGTGTGGGAGCGCGAAAAAAAAATAGAATTGTTTTGGAAATAGGATGTGCTGTGGTATGTCAGTGGTGCAGAATATATAACAGAAAATACACCCACTCGATTCTTTCTCATAGCTAATAATTGTAATGGTGTGGAGGATTAGAAAAAAAATCTTGAAAAGTTAGATAGGGACATATAAAAGAGCCCATAATCTCAGGCTGTAAAAGAGGTGCCAGAGGTCACCAGTACTGTCTCAACACGTAGAACAGTTGCTGCAGCAGTAACCAGGTCTCACCCAACGCCCAAGTCAAACACTTTTATAAGTATCACTTTCAAAACTAAATGCTTTTATATTAGACTTTTACACTACCCAGCCGAGGAGATATCGGTCAAGTGTACAGAGTAATGTCTGATGTATGAGACACTGAACTGTATATAATCCTATAAAAAGTATATATTTCGTAACACATAAAAAAAACAAACTACGGGTATAATTAACCAACACTGCAGAAACAAACGAGATTTAATTGGGTTATGTGCAACTTAATGAAAAATCATCTCATGTTCTGTGAAAAACTTTTGCCAATCATTCCACCTAATGAATATAAATTAGGAAAATGTTTCGCGTCTGCTCATGCAATAGTCACCTGTGGGAAAAAATGACAACAATAGCTGAAAGACCTAGAAGCACCAAATTCCTTCTTAGAAAACTTGTCATTGAGGTAAGACAGTCGAGAAAAATAAAGGATTGGGTTCTTGTGATGGTGTCACCCCTGTGCTTGTTGCTTTTTTTTGGAGGATAGTAACCTGTAAGATACAGAAATGTAATCCTGCACCAGATGGAAGACAGGAGTCCTGGGGCGCTGCTGAGGAAACAACAGTATACACAAATATATGTAACTTCCAGACAACAAAATAATCAAAACTCTACTGGACTGGCCAAAAACGGGATGATGCGTTCAGAGAATAGTGTTGATACATTACCATTTAAAACTGTGGAAGCACTGGTGTTAGTACAGGTGCTTAGATAATGGGAAAGTCAGAAAAATGACCAGTATGGATAGCATCCATGGTGGGGGTGGCGAAAAATCCTGCAAACAGAAATCAAGCATAGCATATCTGGAAAAAACAAAGTGGACATGAAACTTTGACCAC